GTTGAATTACCCAACGGTGTAAAACCCGTAGGATGTAAATGGGTCTTCAAAACAAAACTGGACCCGAATGGAAACATTGAACGCTACAAAGCGAGATTGGTTGCAAAGGGCTACACTCAGAAAGAGGGAATTGACTATCAAGAGACCTTTTCTCCTGTCTCTCGAAAGGATTCCTTAAGGATCGTTATGGCCCTTGTAGCTCACTTTGACTTAGAGCTACATCAGATGGATGTCAAAACCGCTTTCCTTAATGGCGATTTGGATGAAGAAGTGTTCATGAAACAACCCGAAGGATTCAAATCTGAAGGTCAAGAGCACCTAGTCTGTAAGCTAAAGAAATCCATATACGGGTTGAAGCAGGCATCACGTCAATGGTACCTAAAGTTGCATCAAGTCTTGAAGTCAGAAGGTTTCATAAAGAATCAAGTGGATCAATGCACCTACCTCAAGATGAGTGGGAGCAACTTTACTATACTTGTCCTTTACGTAGATGACATTCTATTGGCAAGTAATAGTTTAGACATGTTGCATGAGTCCAAGCGCTTACTCTCGCGTAATTTTGACATGAAAGATCTCGGAGAGGCTTCTTATGTTATTGGCATCGAAATACACCGAGATAGAGTCAATGGTATTTTGGGATTATCTCAAAAGGCTTACATTGAGCGTGTCCTTACACGTTATAACATGCAACATTGCTCTCCTTCTGTGGCTCCAGTAGTTAAGGGAGATGTTTTCGGTTTATTTCAATGTCCGAAAACAGAGGTTGAAAAAGAACAGATGAGAATGATACCTTATGCGTCAGTAGTAGGAAGCCTTATGTATGCACAAGTCTGTACTCGTCCAAATATCGCTTACATTGCTGGAATGTTAGGTCGTTATCAGACCAATCCTGGTCTTGATCACTGGAAAGCAGCTAAGAAAGTTCTTCGATATCTACAAGGGACAAAAGACTATAAACTGATTTACAGAAGGAGTGATAATTTAGAAGTGGTTGGTTATTCTAATTCTGATTTTGCTAAGTGCAAAGATGACAAGAAATCTACTTCAGGGTATATCTTTATGTTAGCTGGCGAACCTATCTCGTGGAAGAGTCATAAGCAAGAGTTGACTGCAACTTCTACAATGATGGCAGAATACATTGCGCTGTACAACGTAACCTGTCATGGGATGTTGCTCAGAAACCTCATCACTGGACTCAAAGTAGTTAATTCCATCTCTCGACCATTGAAGCTTTATTGTGATAACTCAGCCACCGTTAGTTTCTCGAACAGTAACAGTTCGACTGGCGCTGCTTTATATCTTGATACAAAGTACTTGTTCGTACGTGAGCGAGTTGAGGAAAATAAACTTTGTATTGAGCATATAAGTACTAAGAATATGCTTGCGGATCCAATGACTAAAGGTCTCCCTCCTAAGATTTTCGAAGAACATGTTTCGAATATGGGGTTATTTAAAGGCCTTATTTAGTTGCATATTGTACTTGCTTACATTTAATAATAAAATTTCCTCATTGTTTTGTTTGTTTTGTCTCTGAATGTGTCTATGCATGCCTAAAGACATATAGACAACATTTATATACAAAATAATGTTATGAGCTTAATTGTCAATTAGATCCTTAGCTTATTTAAGTTTTAAATTTGGTATTGTAGTATGATTAATGGGGGTCTTGAATTGAGTTTCGATTCAATGACTGTATTTCTCTGCTACAGTTTCGGTTTAGAACTAAAATGAGTATTAAAATCTGATCAGACTTATCTAATACTCATCATAAATGATTACTCGGCCAAGTGGGAGAATGTTGGACACGATTTTATTATGTGGCCTGAGTTATCATGTATCTAATTAATTGATCATTGACCTAATAAATACCCTACGTATTTATTTGGTAATTATTCGATGGACGTAATTACCCTTATGACCTAATTAGGGTTTCCCCTTGGGTGTATAAATAGAGGTCATTAGGCAAAGATCAACACACCAATCTTACGCCTTCTCTCTGCCTCTCTATTCTCGTGAGTCTCATCCTCACCTTAGCCATCATAACGACACACCCTAAACGGGAACTCGATCTGCGTGAGAATCATGGCTTCATCCCTAACTACGTTTACAGGATTATCAGGTACACATGATTAAATCCCTAAATTATACTTTATGTTTAAGAATTGATCAACAGAATCTCCCACTACATATTATTTAAGTCCAATTTAGGGAATAAAAAAATTTAAGTTATTGAGAAATTACTTATGTTTGAGTGTTTTTGGTCCGTTTTTTTAAAGTTTGTTAACATTGTGGCTCTGTCATTAAAACATTGAGTAGTACAAATTAATGATCGATTTGCATTGAAATAAAAAAGAAGTTAAATTGTACGTAAAGAATGGCTGAGAGATCAAAAGGCCAGATAAAACATGTTTATTATGTGAACTCAAAAAACTCATTATTTATTTATTTATCCATTGTTTGGTTCTTCATACGTACTCAGTAACTTTGAAAAATGTACCAAGGGAGAGATTTTGCATAAGTAAAAACAAATCCGAGTAATACTCTGTTTCATTGAAAAAATGTACGAAGGGTCAAAGATAAATAAACTTTAGGTTTCTGATCCAAAGCCGGAACAATTTGCATTTTGAAGTCCATGAATTTAAAAATGTAAAAGTTGTACCATATAAGAAGACTAAAAAATTGATCCAATCAGAACATAACAAAGTGAAAGATCCTTTTTTACTCCGAAATATTTGTCGCAGCAGATTGTATGGGTGATATAGTTGACATTTTGAATATTTTATGAATAAGACATTATAGGAAAATTTTTCTGATTTTGACTTTTAAGAAAGGAAGATATAGTAGTTTGACTAACGACAATTGAAACAAATTGGGCTCGAGAAATCTCAAAATGGGCTGGAGAAATCTCATCGAAATTGTGCAGTTTTAATGAACTAACTACTGCCACTACAAGTATCACCTCACTCAAGATAATAAACAAGAATACACAATCAGGTGGAAAAACACGATACCTAAGGAAAAGTTTGATACCTAAAATCCTCCGGTGTATAAACACACGGATTATTAAAGTAGTCGTTTAGAAGTGAATCGTGGGCGGCCGCTCGATCCCGGTTAAGACATTGGCGTCGGGTCCGTCGTCGGGAGGATTCGGCTTCTTCTTGGCCATCTTCCCACCATTGAATACAATTCGTCGCGAAACAACGAAAAAATAAAGCTCTTCTTTCATCGTCAGAAGATGAACCCATTTTTAAATTATATTTTATAAATATTTATAATAAATAATAAATTTTTTTGAGAGAATATATATAGTAATAAAGAGAGATTTGTTAGAGAGAGGTGTGAGGAAGATGTATGAGAAGGGGGGATTTTATAGGTTTTTTTTAAATTTATTTTTTTTTTAATTGGGGGGGGGGGGG